GATCCAAGTCTGACACCCTAACCGCTCACCCACGACTGCCCACATTTATTCAGTGGATTGCATTTTGCCAGTTGAAGTGAAGCCACCGGCCGCCATATTGGTACTCCCTAGTTAGACCGGTCACAATGTAAACAATATGTGTGCAACAGCATCAAACAACAATGATTTTCTAATTTTCAGGGGGGCTTAAGACTTTTACAAAAAGATACATTCATCACTTTTACTCACACTGGCTGTTTGATAGCAACAGTAGATTACTTTAACTTATAATAAAACAAAAATAGGCACATCATATTTCATAGCCATTATGAAGTCAATGAAGTCTATAAATCAGGTAATATAACGTGTTTTACAAATCCATCACAACATTAATGTGTTAATGGAGCATAATATTACTAAAATGCCAAAAGTTTTGATGATGTACATGTAATAGACATTATGTGTATTGATGACATTATTATTGTTATAACATATTACATATAATTTCAAAATTTTACATTAAGACTGAATTACATGTACATGTCTGTTAATGCTGCAGTATTCTCCTATTAGCAAATTGTGCATGCATGACACCATGTACTTTTATGCTGTCTGTGCATTAGCCTTTAAAAATGTTTGAGTGGCTTTTTCTCTCAATATAACTTGCATTATATTTCAGCACATGACTTTTTCAAATGAGAAATACAACAAACACGACAAAAAACGAACGCGTCATTCACTAAATAATTACTACATTGACATTTCACAGTGAATTACTTTCTATTTGATCTACTTTCCATTTTCTTATGTTAGACCGAATGTCAGTCGACAATTTAGTCAATGTCTTTGAGTCAGTCTGAGATAGCCAGACTAAAGTTATGCTACATACTATACTATAGGATGCATCGGAGTATATATGGCTTTTATTGCTTAATATATCCACTGACACTAAATTATCTGTGAAATGTCTTCCCACAGTCGGCAAACTGCTTGTTTTTACAGTCACATGCTGCGCATGTAGGCATTTTTACTGCACATCTCGGTGGGAGTAGGGAGTACCAATATGGCGGCAGGTGACTTATAGTGGTCAGTTTGTAACTCCCAGATCTTACATGTGCAACTGGCAACACTGCTGTCTCTAAATGAACCAGTTTACACTGTGTTTGGAATCTGAAGCAGACCAGTAGACTGAGAAGTCATGGTGTTTCTGGTAAAGTCAAGGCAACATTCACCCCTCCAGCTCACCCTCTCAAGATACTGTACATAGGAGAGATATCCTGCAGGGACATTGATATACACAGAGTTTAATATTGACATGAAAAACTGTTTAATATTTCTCAAATAAAGCTAATATTTGGGTCATATGATGAAAAAGAAAGTATTTTCGCGAATATAAGGTGCATATAAATGTGTTTTTTTCCCTCAAAATGTGCGGCGCGCCCTATAGTGCGGTGCACACCTGACTGCACCTTTTAGTACGGTGCAACTTATGGTCGTGAAAATACGGTATGTAATTTTATTTTTACTGAGCTGGTAGGTAAGACTATTTACAAATGGATATTAAATACAGAAAAAATATATAATTTATGTTTTAAATAAAAAATATATATATATTTTATATATATATATATATATATATATATTAAAGGTGCATTGTCACGTTATATTTTGTTTAGATAAGTCCTTTGTTGAGACTAAATAGAATTCCATTTCAGTTTGATGAGCAAACATTAACAGATGTGGCGCCACCTGCTGACCGTTCTACAGAATTGCCAGATGGCGACTGCTAAATAAAGCTCTATTGAACTACAATAGAATATCAGCTGTTAAAGATCAATGCATCCTTCTTAAATAAAGTTGGTGAATCCTCTCCTACA